TCTTGATTAACTGTTAGCACTAGCTGTTAGCTCATGTCTTGAGTAGCCGTTAGCTCAACTCCCACATGAGACTTTCTTCCTGATTATCCAAACTGAGCTCAACAGAGATGTAAACTGTTCCACACAACCAAACTTATAAAACTGAACCACCGTATTGCTCTTCCTCTACAACTAACTTCCGGTCGTAAATGTTTACAACGATAACAAACTGACCGACACGCTCCCGCCGGCACGAGCATCACTGCCTACGAACACATCAGCGACTGTGAACTTAGTGTTTTTCTGTTGTTTGTTTCAGAGTAACGAACTGACGGAGGGAAAATGTTGGGAAAGTCACGCTAAAACATTTTTACATTTGCTTGCTGCCCGTACAGCTTCAGTACAAACTGAAAATGTGATTGAACTGAAGTGTGAGGATTTCCACAGACGTGTCCGCTCCTGTAAATGTAAAGTTTTAATGGACCTGCTATGGATTTACGAGTTGTGAAGTTGTGGCTTTTCTTTTATGTAATTTTCTTTTTTCTAACAAGAAAGTGTTTTATAAGCAGATTATGTGAACTTATATGATTCAAGAGAGACACTTTAAACCTCTGTTGGGTTTTATTTGTGCTCGGGTGAGACGGACAGAATCGCAGGCGTCCATCTTGTGCTGAAAAGTTCTTTGCTTCATTAAACCTGGTCAGTTTGTAAACTGTACATTTTGTTTTTCTGTTCATGAAACAAAATAAAAATAAATTTGTTCCCACAATCTGTGTTTTAAATGTTTTTTCTTTGGAAAACATAAATAGATGTGGGGAGTGGCGGCGCAGAGGTTAGAGAGGTGGGCCTGTGATCGGAAGATCGCCAGTTCAAGCCCCGGTACCGACAACATCGAAAATGTGGGTGGGGTAGGTGAAGCACCCACACTTGCCCCCACCCTCATTCACCCCACTCTGGGCCCATGAGCAAGGCCCTTAACCACCATCTGCTCCCTAAACAGGTCTCTCTTGAAAATGAGTTCTCGTGGCTCAATGAGACTTCCTGGATAAATAAAGGGTAATGGAAAAAAAAAAGATAAAATTTATATAATATTTATATAATATTAATATTTATAAAAGTTTGGTTTTCCATGGCAGGAGATAAAATGATAAACTAATTAAACTTGTCATCTGATCCACTGCAGCAGCAAAATTCATAAGCTTCAACGACGAACTGGACTTCAACATGCAAAATATTAATTGTGTTAATTGTCATTGTTAGATGGACACTTAAAAAAATCAGTCACGCTTTACTTCTATGAATGTTTTTAAGTTGTGAATGTCTTTGTTGATACTTTTTGTTTAGTTCCACTTGTATTTTAAAAGTTAATAAAATCAAAACATTACAGTTTATCCTGAAGTTTGTCAGACAGTGCAGTTTAAAAGAGTTTACTCCAGCAGTTTTCTACATATGTTGATATGCAAATCTGAAAGGAGGGTCTGCACTCAGTGTAAACAAAGCTGTCAGCTGAATCCCTTAGGTAAACAAATATGGCCAAAAAGCTTGACCTTTGACCTGTTTCAGTCACTTCAGCAGCTAAAGTTTGGCTGTTTCTATAAGTAAACAAACCGGCGTATTAGCTGCGAGTCTCAAATTATGATTTTAAACGTTTAATTTAAAAACACATTAATTATCAACATGAGGAAAATATACTTTTTTTTAATGAACTTGATTTGTCAGGTCTTCATTAAGTGCTTTAATTAAAAAAACACAATTATTTAATTAGTTCAATATTTAAGGAGTAAACATTGTGAAGTTGAAAGCACTAAATGCACTTATAAACTGTTCTACAGCGAGCAAAAATGTTAGGAAAATAAAATAAACAGGAATTACCTGTAAAACGCGAATTTGAGCTGATGGCGCTTGAGGTGTACTGTCCCTTTAACGCATGCAGCAGGCGTGAGTCACGTGGGTGCGTGTCATGTGATCTCTGTTTGCCAGGAGTGTTTGTATGTGTTCAGAGCGTTTCTAAAGATGCAGTAAATCCTCATATAGTCTATAGATTGTCTGTTTGACCTGCTTAATTGAGCTAACGAGGTAAGAACATGTAATTTAGCTTCGCTGAGTAACAGCCATTTAAAGCTAACTTAGCGGCTAGCTAGCTATTTAGCATGCTAAGCTAACGGGTTCTTAAGAGCTAGCTTAGCTTCTAGCTATCCACCTAGCATGCTAAGCTAAATTTGTTTGGATTATTGAAGCTAACGTGGGCTAGCATGCAATTTTCATGTTCATTGCCGCTAAAAGTTATTCTTACTTTGAGTATATGCTTTTTTAATATTTCTCAGTATTTTTCTCCACGATGTCAAACCAGTAAATATACATTTTTGTTGTTTTTCAGGTTGTAGTATGCGACACTGTTCATCACTGACATCTTATCTGCACTCAAGCTAACCGCTAATAATGGTGAAGAAACAACCACACTGAAATATTCATTTGTAAACTTAAATTGAAAGTAGCTTAACCCTTAAATTAAACTGTTTTCTCAGCATCAGGATGAGACAACTGCTCATATAAACAAACCTGTTTTTTCTTGCTTTAAATAGCTAAATATTTACACTGTTGTATAAAGTGCAGTTTTGATATTTTTCTGTTGACTGTTTTCAGGATTTAAAGCTGAAATACCTGAAATTTGCTGACTAAATGGGCCCAACGTGGCTTGATTGTGAAACAAACATTTCAACAGATCTTCTTTCTGTATTTATATTCATGTAGAGAAGTGTTGACATGGATTTAAAGCATTCAGTGTTTTTTATGGTTAAATTAGTGAACAGCTGTTTTAGCTCACAGTCATTTTTTACAAATCATAACCTCGGTTTTGCTTTTTATTCCTGGGAAACAGTTTACGGTCCAGTTATTGACAAATTGCTTTATGGACAAATATAGTTTACGTAGTTTATGAGCATTTTTAGATGCGATGCACATGAATGGACATTGAATGTAAATTAAATGCACGTATATGAGCACAAATTTTTTAAAGCAGATTTTGAACATTTTAAGTTCAGGATTAATTCACAGTATGTGACTCACAGAAACAGTGTCTGGTTTGTGAAATAAATGTTAAAAGTTAAAAATAGGCGTGTTTCCACTGGAGGTTTGTGTTTGTTTGGTGCAGAAATGCCCGTTATCAGCGGCCAGCTTCCTGTCAGCTGATCTGTTCTCTGAGCGCCGCTCCTTGTGTTCAGGCTCTGCAGATGGGGGTCTGGTTTCTGGTTCTGTTGGGCCTGGGCTCTGCGCTGGTCTGTCCCGATGGAGGCCCGTGTGGAGACGAGGTGCGTTTGTGAACTTCCTCTGACTCTGAGGCAGCTGAGTAGTTTTTAATCTGATCACAGGATCACGTGCAGATTATTTCTTCTGATCTGGATTCTGCTTCTGTTTGACTTTATTTGTACAAACTCACTAAAGGTCCAATCAGCTTCTGTCTGTTAAACTCTGTTTCTCTCACTTTAATCCATATTAATGAATGTTTGTGTTTGTCGGATCCAGACCAGAGGCGGTGTGAAGGCCGTAATGTGTCCAGATCGGGAGTCCGAGTGTCCCGATGACACCACCTGCTGCCAGCTTCCCGACGGCTCCTGGGGCTGCTGCCCCTTACCAAAGGTCATCAGCAGAGCTCTGGTTCTGTTCCTCTGCTTCATGTTCTGAAGCGGATCACAATCAATTTATCCCAATTAAAAAAAAAAAAAGTTTTCAAGTTTTAACAGTTTAAAAACCGTCAAAACGATGACTCCATTTTCTGTTTCTGTTTGTACATTTTTTATTTGAGTGAATATTGATAAATTGATTAAGTGTCGTCTTGCTGCTTGATTTATTACAGATTCAATTAGCTTAGCTAGCTAAATGCTAGTGTTGCTAACTGACCCCAATACAAGGAATTGACCTGTTTTACATCTCATCTTAAACATGAGCTAAAAGAAGCAGAAAACTAGCTAAAAGACAAAAGTAGCAAAAGACTAAGCTTAAGTCCAGCTGGCTCAAAGGTTAGCTACAAGTAGCAAAAGGTTAGGTAAAATTAGCAACGGCTGGCTGAAAGCTAACACAGATTCCTGGTTTCCTTGATGACATCGGCGTCTCACAGCTGAATATTTTAGAGACAGAAGTCCCTCTACTCCATTCGGTCCACTCAGCGTTTCTTTTTTCAGTTTCTGAACGTTAGCGACCCTGTTAGCTACGCTAGCTAGCTAAAAGCTACAATATCAAGTTCTGAATATGATCCATTTTCACCATATTAAAAATGTAACAGATTTAAGGCGTTTGTCTTGTTTTTCCGCGTGAAACGACTCATTTGATGAGTTTTCTGACGTTTCGATGGTTTTCCTCTGCAGGCGGTTTGCTGTGAGGACAAACGTCACTGTTGCCCCGAGGGAACGACATGCGACCTCGTCCACTCCAAGTGCGACTCCCCGGCGCTCCAGTCCTTCCCTCTGATGGAGAAACTTCCTGCGAGAAGAACCGGGAGCGGAGCAGGTGAAGGTGGCGTCTTCGTGTCCGAGCCGAGGCCGACCCGCTGGCTTTGGATCGTGCGTGTCATTAACGTGTTCCTGTCTCTGGTTCGAAGCCTCCGCTGCTGTTTCTGTGATTTGTCCCGGTGGGACCAGCAGCTGTGCGGACGAGTCCACGTGCTGCCTGCTGAGGGACGGAGACTTCGGCTGCTGCCCGTACCCAGAGGTCCGTTTCGCCCTCAGAGGGATCGTTCAACGGGCCCTGAAACAGAATCTGTTCATTTTGTTGTTAAAATGTTTAATTTTTGTCTCATTCATCTGTTTTTATTTTTCCCATCAGGCCACCTGCTGCAGCGATCGTCTCCACTGTTGCCCCAGCAACTCGGTCTGTGACCTGGACCACGGAGTCTGCAGGTCTGCTGAGAACCAGACCCCCCTGATGAAGATCCCTGCTGCTTCCAGTGACGGTGAACTGCTGGTTCTGTTGGCAGAAGTCCGTTTTTCATTCACGGGTCGTTTTAAAGGAACTGACGTTGTTGTTTCAGTCGTGTGTCCGGACCAGAAGTCTGCCTGTCCCGATGAGACGACCTGCTGCCAAATGTCCAACGGGACGTACGGCTGCTGTCCTCTGCCCAACGTCAGTGACACAAAGAGTTCACACAAGCAGCCGAACTGTAAAAACGTCAGCTAAATATGCAGCCGAACCTCTTAGCTGGACACGGTCTGTTTCAGTCTGAGCAGCTGCTGCTGAAGCGTCTCGGGTCGTCCGGGTCAGGATCCGTCTCCAGAAACAAAATCAGCTGTTCTGAAGCTGGGTGGGGTGGGGGGGGGGGGGGGGCTTCATGGATTCTGTGTGAGGTCACAGCTTTAAAGAAGTGCAGGAGGAGACACGTCCACCTTCAGTTCTCTACAGCTGTGAGCTCCACACACTCCAGATGTTTCAGAACTCAAGTCCAGATGTTTTTCTTTTAACCTTGTTGTCCCTGAACAGCTTCATCAGAGCCTCGTCCATCCCCCCCCCCCCCCCCCCCATCTCTTATTAATCTGTTTTCCAAACCCACCGTCTGATCTCCAGGTTGACAGCAGCTGCTGTGGTTCGTTCTTCTGAAGCTTCATGTTCTTCTTGTTCAGGCCGTCTGCTGCTCGGACCACGTGCACTGCTGCCCCGCGCACACCAGGTGTGACCTGATACACGAGGTCTGCTCGCACCATCAGGGGGACGCTCCACCTCTCGTCAGGATGCTGGCTCCTGTGACGGCAGCTCGGGGTCAGTGGACAGGTCAAAGGTCACCTCTGGAAGGTTCTGCCTGATGCTGGAAGACGTTCTGGTCCAGATCTTGAGTTTCAGTTCCTGCTGTTTGTTTTTCAGTTCCTTCTGTTCCCTGCAACGACTCGGTGGCCTGCGCGGACGGGAACACCTGCTGCCAGTCTGCACAAGGAACGTGGGCCTGCTGTCCGCTACCAGAGGTGAGTTCTGACCCGGGTTTCGAGTCCAGCTGTGCACACTGACCCTCCGCTCTGACCCGTCCAGCCAGGAAGACTCACGAAGAACAAACTAGTTTGTTTGTAGAGAGATTTAAAAATAAGCTCAAGATTTTTGGATTAATTTAAAGTTTTAATCCATGAGTCCATGCCCCCCCCCCCCCCCCATCTGCAGGCTGTGTGCTGTGAGGACCACCTGCACTGCTGTCCTCATGGGACCGTCTGTAACCTGGCAGCCTCCACATGTGACGGTTCGTCGGGCGGCGCCGTCACGCCGCTGCACCCCAACACCCCCGTCTTCCCTCTGCAGCCTGAAGACACCAGGTGTGACGAGTCCACGTCCTGTCCCGGAAACTCCACCTGCTGCCCGGCGCCGAGCGGGGGCTGGGCCTGCTGTCCTCTCCCCCAGGTAAACTCCGTCAGGTGTGGCGCTGCATGTGGGGTGGAAGATTTGGTGTGTGGGGGGGCGCTTGAATAATGCTAGGGCAAACACTGGGTTGGATGCTGATTGGATGCTGATTGGGTGATGGTTGTATGCAGGTTGTACGATAAGACAAACAGCTGAGTCATGTTTCGTGGGCTTTAACCCTGTAAATGACCCCGCGTGACCGTTGACCCCTGCAGGCCGTCTGCTGTGACGACCGCCTCCACTGCTGCCCCCACGGCTCCGTCTGCAACCTGGAGGCTCAGACCTGTGAGGACCGGTCCAGGTCCTCGCTCCCCTGGTTCTCCAAAGTTCCCGCTCGGACCTCCGAGAGGTCCGTGTCCAGGACCTTGAGCGTCCCGTGGGTCCAGAAGGTTCCGGCCCTGCGTGCGGTTCCGGTTCAGTCCGACAGGATCATGTGCGACGCTCAGACCAGCTGCCCCCGAGGCACAACGTGCTGCTTCATGGAGCAGCGCCGCAGGTGGGGCTGCTGCCCCCTTCCAGATGTGAGTGTTCCACAGCTGGACTGAACCACCTGGACCGGACCACCACGATGCTGAAGGTTCTTGTGTTTTTCAGGCTGTGTGCTGTAAAGATGGAGGCCACTGCTGCCCCAGAGGTCACACCTGTGACCCCCTCCGGTCCTCCTGCTCCAGGGCTCTCCAGGTCACGACCCGGTCCACCAACCGGACCGAGCCCGGCGCCGTGGCGGACGTTCGGTGTGACGACACGAGCAGCTGTGCGTCGGGGACCACCTGCTGTCGGTTACAGAGCGGAGGGTGGGGCTGCTGCCCCCTGGTGAAGGTCCGGTCCTCCTCACTTCCCGGTTCTGACCCAAAACTGACCGGTTCTGTCCCAGTTTGAAGTTCTAACCGTGCGGTTCCTCCTCAGGCGGTTTGCTGCGAGGACCACGAGCACTGCTGCCCTCAGGGCTACACCTGCATCATGAAGACCGGCACATGTGAGAAGAAGGTCCAGGACACCCCCCCTCTGCAGGAGGTGGTCCGGTCCGAGGACGCCGCTGCGGTACCGTGCGACGGCTCCGGGCTGTTCCGCTGCTCCAGACGTGAAACGTGCTGCAGAACCTCAGACACAGAGTGGAGCTGCTGCCCTGCTCAGAAGGTACGTTCAGCCCGCCTCGACCCGGGATCAGGTCCAGAACCGGAGCGGTTCGACGCTCGTCACAGAACCAGCTGCTCGACTCGGTGGACCCGACTGAGGGGTCAGCAGAACCTTTCCACGACCACGGTCGTTATTATCCACTAGTTTCTGTTGGAGCACTGGTGTCAAACTGACGGCCCGGGGGCCAAATGTGGACCTCGTTAGCATCTTGTCGGGACGCCAATTAAAGCAGTTTGTTGCTTTGAAGATAACATGAGGCCGGATTGGATCCAGCTTCGGATCTGATGTGGAACCGAGGCCGGATTGGATCCAGTTTCGGATCTGATGTGGAACCGAGGCCGGATTGGATCCAGTTTTGGTTCTGATGTGGAACCCGTATCGACTGAAACGGGCCGCGGGTTTGAAAAACGTTTAGGAAGAAATCCACGGCCCGTCTGGTTCTTTAGTGAGACTCGGGATAGATTTGTGTCCGGACCGCCCCTGAACGAGTCGTCAGTCTTGAGTAGTGTTAGCAAAATATTTCATGAACTACTCTGCAGCTGATTAGCACTGCCAATTCAAGATGGCCGCCACAGCTAACTGACCTTAGCCCAAACAAATATGGCTGTCACTCCTTGGGGGGGCAGGAACCGTTGACCCTCCTGCTGCCCTGGACTCAAGGACCCTCCAGGTCTCGGCTTCGTTTTGACCCCAGAGCAGCAGGAGGCTTTTATTTTGTTAACTGAGCGAACTCGTAAACTTTATTGACTCTTCGTTCGTTTAACAATGTCTCCTTGTCCACGCCTGGATTGATTTGGTCCACGCGGGATCGGGTCGGTCAGGTCTGAGGTCTGGTCCGGTTTCTGATCGTATTTAGTCAGAACCTGGTTCTGGAGCCAGCAGCAGGTTTTCAGTGGTTCTCGTTTCGTCTTCAGGCTGTGTGCTGCGGCGACTCCAAACACTGCTGTCCTGCCGGGTTCTCCTGTGACCCGAAGACCGGAGGCTGCGTCCAGAAGAACCGGATGACCCGGTTCACCTGGGACTCCTTGTGGAGGGACAGGGACGCAGGACTTTGAGTCCCAGAGATGGTCCTCTCTGCACATTAGTTCATCCAAACTCATCTGAACATTATTAGTTAGATTATCTCAGATTATTTCTGACTATTGATTAATTCAGATTATCTCTGGGTTTTCTCAGATTATTTCTTATTATCACAGATTATTTCAGATTATCACAGTTCAGATTATCTCGAGATTTTTTCATATTATTTCAGATTATCTCAGACTATTTCAGATAATCAGTTTTTTTCTGATTAGTTCAGATTATTTCCGAGTTCAGATTATCTCAGATTAGTTCAAATTATTTCAGATTATCTCTGATTATTTCAGATTATCATTGATTAATTCAGATTATCTCAGGGTTTTCTCAGATTATTTCAGATTATCACAGTTGAGTTCAGACTAACTCAAGATTTTTTCACATATCAGATCTCAGATTAGTTCAGATCAATTCAGATTATCTCTGTCAGATAAATTTAGATTATCTCAGATTATTTCAGATAATCTCACATTATTTCAGATGAGTTCAG